TATGCAATTTAATGAAGTTGTTTTGCAACAAAAAATTATCCAAAATAATAGCGTTTAAAGCAATTTTTGGATAAGATAGAGAGTTTTGCACTCAGAATGTTTCTTTTTATTAGATAGAGAAATTTAAAAATTGCCAAAAAATATTTTTTTCTTTTGCTGGATATTTTGCCATCAAAATCTTATTATCATGAAAATGACAGATAGAGACTATTGAATATAGTCCCTCGATGTGCTTTTAAGTGGTTTTCGGAAGTGGACCTTATATGGGAACTGTGCCCTATGGATCCGGAAAAAAAATCGCAGGGTGTTTTATATGTACTTTAAACACATTCATGATTAATTTTAAACCGATATCTTCTTTCATTAATGAAATATGGTAGCTATGCCCAATTATGGACCGATCCTAAAAAATGTTTTTCAGAGTGATATATGTATACATAAAACATATTTATGTCGAATATTATTTCAATATCTTTATTTCTTAATTAGTTATGTGCATTTAAGTGATTTTCGGAAGTGGACCTTATATGGGAGCTAAGACCATTTATGGACCGATACAGATTTAAGTTGGTAATATGCTTTCTGTTCATTTTATATACATATGTATGTGCAAAATTTCGTGGTGATACCTATATTTTTGACTGAGTTATTAAACCCATTTTCGAGAATATGTACCTTTGTATGGGGGCTATGGGAAATTTTGAACCGGTTGTTTTGAGTTTGAACATAATTAATCCCTGGGCAAAATAATTAACGTGTAATAGAATTCATTGAATAACCTTAGGTAGTTTTTGAGAAAACTACTCGAGAATTAGGAAAAAATCTTAATTTTTTTCGAGGTAGTCTGAAATTTTTAGTCATAACTTTTTTCGTTATGAACCGATTTTTCTGATTTTCAATACCAAACTGCTCAGGCCAATAATGAATATTTTCGGAAAACTTGGTTTTTCCTTTGCTTAATTTTAAAGTCCGCGTGTTTTACACAGATAGACGGACGGACGGGCATAGCTAAATCGACACAGAATTTGATAAGGACCCGGAATATATATATACTTTGTTGGGTCTCAGATGAATATTTCTTTTTGTTAAATACGGAATGATAAACTTATATAACACGGAAACACGGAATGATAAACTTATATAAACCCTCTATCACCACTGATGGTGGTGGTAACCAAATTTTTTTTTTTGGAAACAATGAAGAAATACCTATCTGAATTCCTTTGGACAACTTTTGCTAGGACCAATAGGTGAAAAGATACACTCATTTGAATAAAAACCTGTATGACCAAAATGCCCAATTTTGAATTGGGTCATTTGACATGAAATTGTTCATATACCCGGCAGAAAAAGAACTTCCAAAGAAGCAAAAAAGAAGTAGAATTTACTCTATGGAAGTACTGAAAAAGACCTGAAGAAGTGATGATTTTAACGGAGGCTTGTCATAGGAGGGATGTCCTTTTTATTTGATTCCAAATTTACTACTTCTGAAGCCATTCTTAAGAAGTAATATTTATGCTCTTTTTTGGATGTTATTCGGAAGTGAAATTGTATTATGATGGAAAGCAACTAATTTATCTTAAATAATATTAACATTAATAGGGGTAATAGATACATTCAAAACAGAAGCTCAAAAATAAAATTTATCTCACAAAAATGTAAGAACAAAAAATATATCTCCAACATTGAAAAAATAGAATTATTTTCGCATGTTTGGAAGTCTTTAAACATCACTTCCTCAGAAGGTAAAAAAATCCACTTAGTGCTACTTTAGAAGTGGTGATAAATGTCATTCTTTTGGAAGTACTTCGCTTTATTTTTGCTGGGTAGAACGATTTGGACACAGTTTCTTTATCAGAATCTTTTTAATTTTCACAAACCAAAAAAATATTTTTTTAATTATTTGACATTTAATTTTTTGTTTTTCTTCAAGTTCAAGTTGAAGGTGCACAGTAGCATTTTTTAGTAGTAAGCAAATTTATGAAAATCGAAATAATTAAAGAATTTTACATTTTAACAAATATAAAATGCATGAAAAATATTATCATGTTTTATAAATTCAATCTACAATTTGAAATTTAATAATATAAGAAAATAAATGCAATAAAAACATTGCACTATTATTTCGACCAATTTTATGCAACATTTTCTGTGTCGTAGAAAGCTTTTATACACTAACACTTTGTAGTGGTTGTGTATGTTTGGTATGGTATAACCATACCAAAACAAAACAAAAGGAACTGGTGTTGCCAGATGGTATGCTCGCGTTTGCCGGTCTTGGGGCTCGACGGTTGGGGGTGGTTCTTGTTACCACTCTAGACATCTACACACACATAAAAAAATCATATCAGCTAAAAAAAAATAAACAAAATAAAAAGATAAAGGGGCACCGAGTAGGTTTTTATCTGTCTCCCTGATGCAACGTACCTATGAACAAAATGTCTGGCAGATGTTGTGCCAGGTTAAACCCTCCCACTCGGGATTGGATCATCCCGCCATGACATCCTAATATTAGAGATGTCCCAAAATTTACCCTGCAGACTTTCCCTTCCCTACTTACCGCCGGTTATATTAGATTTAGCCGATCATTTTAACTGATTAAAACTTTTAAAGATTTCATTTAAACATTATAAAAGTTAGATTTTATTTTCAAAATTATTCCAAATAAACTTTAACAATATTAGATTTAGATTAAAAATTTAGTTTAGTTTTAATTTTAAGTTCAGCCTTAGGCTTTAAAATTTAGAATTTAGCTTTAGGTTTAGATTTAAAACTAAATCTAAATATTAAAACCTAAAGCTAAAGCCAAATTTAGGTTTTAGTAGGTTTGTCTGTCTCCCTGCTGAAACGTACCTACGAACTATGATGACTGGCAGATGTTGTGCCAGGTTAAAACCCCTCTCACTCGGGATTGGGTAATCACGCCATGACATCCTAATATTAAGGATGTCCCAGTCCCGAGTGGTAGGGTTTTAACCTGGCACAACATCTGCCAGCCATTATAGTTCGTACGTCCGTTTCAGCAGGGAGACAGACAAACCTACTCGGTGCCCCTTTTATCTTTTTATTTTGTTTATCTTCTTTAGCTGGTATGATTTTTTTATGTGTGTGTGTAGATGTTTGGAGTGGAAGCAAGAACCACCCCCATCCGGCGAGCTCCAAGCCCGGCAAATGCGAGCATACCAGCGCCGCTACCACTCTGGCAACACCAGTTTCCTTTGTTTTGTTTTGATATGGATGTACCATACCAACATATAATCAACATAAACTCCGCCTTGCGGGCTACCGGTTCCCGTGGTAACAGATTATGCGGTCCTCTGGTTCGACCTATGTTAAATCATTCCAAGGAAAGGCCGAGGATACATTGATCATCACCAGTTTATAGTCCCGCCAGACTAGATGTACTGGTAGCACTTCTTTTCCCCGGGATTGCAATAACACCAAGATGAAAGATCATTAAGGTAACATGCCCCGAAGGATGCAAGTGCACAGATAGTTTTAATAAAAGTCAATGTGTACATGACGAGATCGCGAAACAGTCACGATCTCAAAATCACCAAAAGTATTGGAATCTCGCTAAAATATTGTTTTTAAAATATGAAATATAGATTGCGGAATTCATTGCTCAATCAACGCTCACATCACGGTTATCCAAACATGCATTTTATAACAATTATATCCGCATTTTATAATTCTCCTTTTAATATAAGGAAAATAATATAAGGAAAAATTCAAATTGAATTGTTTTTTATGCTCCGATTATCGTTCACAACATTTGTTATTCTAATGTTGTATGTTGTAAATTGCGATTATGATTGACAACATTTATGTCTAGTGTTGTATTTGTGTTGTCTATGTGAATTTACTCCGATTATCGTTTACAACATGTTTTTCTATGTGTTGTTAGAACTGCTCATAAGCTGTTGTATTATTGACTTTATAAGTTAAAAAATAAATATTTTTAAAAATTAAAATTTTGAAAAATAAAATGGAGAAGAATTTGAAGTATCATATACGATTTTTTGCAAAACAGCTTTAAATATAATTTTAAATATTAATTAGAAAAATAACTAATAAAAAGCAGATGGAAAAGTTGGTGGAGGTGATGACTCAAAATACAGAAATTGCCCGCGGAAAGTTACCATTTGGTTTTAATAACATGCAGCTCAAAGATAAATGGGATCAGTTTACGGTGCAATTAAATGCCTTGGGACCACCGATTCGAAATACAAAAGAATGGCAAAGAGTTCGTATTAGATTATATATGGAGATGGATTAATAAATTTATAAGATATTACAAATTATTTTTTTTAATTATAAGTGTGGACTCACCATAAAGCTAATTTAAAAAGAAAATGAGCTTCAATCAAGAGAAACTTTCAAGCCACTGGTGGTGGTCCGTCCACGGAAGTAAGCTTGAGCCCGTTAGAGCAGAGCACTGTAGAACTTGTTTCAATGCAGTCACAAGTCAACCCTAATGGATCTGCAATGGGTTTGGAAATACAAGGAGATTCCGATGAGGGGGAAGCGGTATTTAACCTGAGGAACCTTCACCGATTGCTGAAGAGCACAGTACCGAACAGCAATTACCAAAAAGTCGCAGGCAATCAAAAAATAAGCTGGAGGACGATCGTTTGAAAGTGTTAAAAAATCAAGCAAAAAATCAGGAAGAGATCTTGCGGACATTAAAACGTTTGGAAAAGAATTCATACAAGAATTATGAAATAAACAAAAAAACGTTTGAGTTAAAAAAAGAAAAAGGCTGATTTGCAAATGAAACTGATTAAAGCCAAAATCGAATTGACAAATAAGAGAATTCAGGAGATGTGATATACAAATTTTATTTTGATATGTTTAAGTATCTACATGATCATTTAGATCACATGATTATTTTTTTGTGATATTTTTAAGTTGTCTTTTTTTCTTTTTTTAATGTAAACTATTTTTGAAGTGAAATAAAAGAATTGAATATGATTCAAGATACGAAATGTTTATTCATTTTAAATTGCAAGCATTAAATTATTTCTAATTTGTTGTGCAGACTCTTCTATGTTTGTTGCTGTATCATCTCCAACTTCTATTTCCGAGTCTGAAGGAAAAGGCAATTCTTCATGATGTTCTGTTTTAAAATGTTGGCTTAAATTATGTAATGCACAACACACATTTGTAATTTGAGTCACTTTTTCGGGAGCATAGTGCAAACCTCTTGCAGAAAGCAAACATCAAAATCTGCTTTTAAGCACCACAATTGTTCTTCCAATAATGTTTCTTGCTTTTGCGTGAACAGTATTAAAACGTCTTTCTCGTGATACTTCTGCAGCACTTCGAAATGGCGTTATTAAAAATGGTTCCAACGGATAACCAGCATCACCTAAACATATAAAAATATATATAACATATTTAGTATAAAGACATCTAAGAAGCAGTACACTTCCTACCTAAAATCCAGGTATTATCTTCCAAATTATGTTGTAAATATTGTTTCAGCTCACTCATATTCCACACAAAGGAGTCGTGGTTAGAACCGGGATACCGAGAATATAATTATAGCACTTAATTGAAAAGTAACATACTTACGATCATGACATTCAAGCTGTAATATCCTTTTCTATTCAAATATAAATGCTGCAATTCCTTTGGAGGCGCTACTATTAACGAACGAGTGTACCATCTATACAACCAATTACTCCTGGAAAACGAGTTTTTGAGTAGAAGGACATTTTACTATTATGTTTTTCCTCTTAGGAGATACGAGCATTGATCCACCTTTTGCAGATTTTTTGTTCAAAAAAATTTATAATTTCTTTTAAAATGCAGCACACAGTAGGTTGCGAAACACCAATATTAAAATCGTTGCCGCTACTTCTTTGGTAGCTGCCATCAGCAAAAAATCGCAGTGCACAACACAACTTTAAAATTGGTGGAATAGCAGAACACCGAGTTAAAGGTTTTAAAAAGATTTCCAGTTTCTGTAGCAAAAACAGGAAACCATCCTTGTTTATACGGAAGAATTTTATAAAACTAAAAACAAAATTGTAATAACACATGCTTAATTTTTAAAAATAGTACATACTCATTGTTTGGTAGTTCCATTGGATTGGAACTGTCTCGAATACTTCTCCGAATACGTGCCATGTGTGTTTTCTTGCTGTCCTCATCATCGTCCTCATAAATCGACGTTAATATCCATTGATTTTATTTTTCCAATCGTTTTTTTTTACTTGGTAGTTTTTGCTTGCAGGTATGTAATTTTACGGAAATGTGTACTACAATTAAAATACAACTCTGTGACATACTCAACAACTAGATGTTGTAAACCATAATTGTAAAAAAGATTTATGTTGTGTTGTGTCCGAGACAACACAACATTTTTGTGTTGTAAACGATAATCGGGGCATTAGTTTTATTTCTGACATTTAGAAAATATTTTTACATGTTGTTTTGCTTAGTTGTATTCATGGTAAAAATATCAAGGTAGTGTCCATAGAAAAGGTATACATATGGGACTATATGGGACTATAAGCCCTTAAAGGAAATTGTATAAGCTTTCATCTGCGCGCCAATAGTTGATAAGTTAAACTCATTTGAATAAAACCCTGTATGACCAAAATGTCCAACTTTGACCCGCTCGTAAGACCGGCTGTTCTTGACCTATAGAGCTGAGAATGTGTGTCTGGCCTACTCTTCAATAGTACTAACCTTGGTGCAAATTTCATCCAGATCGGAAGACATTGATTTTAAAAGTTGGATCACTTGACACGAAATTGCCAATTTAGACTTTTGTGGGTTTTAGATGAATCATTCCATGTGTTACAAACGGAATGAGAAAATCTTATACACTAGTTTAATATATACAAATTACACATAAAAAATACAAAAGCCTTAAAATTGTTTCTCCTTTAACGTATGTGGCAACGACTTTTTTATGTTTACAAAAAACAAATTTCAGAAAATACCAGCAAACTTCAAAAAATTTTTTTATGAGAGCGGAATGACACTACCTTCATATTTTTATCAGGGTTGTATTTGTTGTAGAATTGTAACTACCTGTAAATGATTATGCCATGGTAACTACGTTTACATATTTTGTGTTTAAAAATGAACGGTTGTATTCATAAAAAGTTAATTTAGGTTTATTAAACATTATTAAGCAAAATCCACGAAAATGGTATTCATAAACGTCAAATAGCTTAAAATACCTTCAATAAACCAATGACAAATAGGAAAAATTTATTGTACGCTCGACCCTACTTTAAGCCAACAATAAGTTGAATTCTTACAAATTTTGTCTCTGATTAAGCTTTTTTCATTAATTTTAGGTTGAAGACGAAAACTAATCATGTTTTATTCTGAAATGAAATCTAAAAATTGTAATTTTAACGTTTACAAATTTGTAAATAAAATTCCAGATAAATTTTAAAAGTTTCTATTTTGGTGAAAAAACTAAAATCTAGGCATTATTGGATTAATAGATGAATATTTGACAGTATTTCAGTTGGTCAATACTATTTTTATACCCTACACCACTTTAGTGGGGAGGGTATATTGGATTTGTGCTGATGTTTGTAACATATAAAAATATTCGTCCTAGACCCACCTTAAAGTATACCAATCGGCTTAGAATCGTTTTCTGAGTCGATTAAGCTATGTCCGTCCGTCCGTCCGTCTGGCTGGCTGGCTGGCTGGCTGTCCATGTAAACCTTGTGCGCAAGCTACAGGTCGCAATTTTCAAGATAATTGGATGAAATTTAGCACGCACGTTTTATTTGACCCAAGGACGAAGCCTATTGAAAATGGTTAAAATCGGTCCATTATTTCACCTAGCCCCCATAGAACAGAACCCCCCGAAAAGGGCTTCTGAGCTCATAATTATGTTAAATATACAGATATATCGATAAAATACGGCATAACTAAGTTGTATAGAAGTCTTGATAGCCCTGCCAAATTTCATAAAGATCGGGCCCCATTTGACCCTAGCTCCCATACAAAGTCCCCTTCAGAAAATTACTTGAATGTCCCAAATTAACTTATAAACACAAATATCGCGATGAAATTCAGCACAATAAAATATTATGTAAATATAAATATATTCACAAAATTTTATCGGGCTTGGTCCATATTTGCCCCTAGCCCCCATATAAAGCCTCTTTCAGAAAATTAGTTTTTCATCCATAAATTGCTTAAATGTATCGGAACAAGGGAATACTGAAGATAAATGCGATATTATGAAAAATAAATCACATTTAATATTCATAACTGGTGTAGGGTATCATATGGTCGGCCACGCCCGACTATACTTTCTTACTTGTTAGCAATTTGGAAATGCCCGCCTGTCAATCAAATCATGGCCACAATCATTATACCCTACACCACTTTAGTGGGGAGGGTATATTGGATTAGTGCTGATGTTTGTAACATGATGTTTGTAACATATAGTATACCAATCGGCTTAGAATCGTTTTCTGAGTCGATTAAGCTATGTCCGTCCGTCCGTCCGTCTGGCTGGCTGTCCATATAAACCTTGTGCGCAAGGTACAGGTCGCAATTTTCAAGATAATTGGATGAAATTTGGCACGCACGTTTTATTTGACCCAAGGACGAAGCCTATTGAAAATGGTTAAAATCGGTCCATTATTTCACCTAGCCCCCATAGAACAGAACCCCCCGAAAAGGGCTTTTGAGCTCATAATTATGTTAAATATACAGATATATCGATAAAATGCGGCACAACTAAGTTTTATAGAAGTCTTGATGACCTTGCCAAATTTCATAAAGATCGGGCCCCATTTGACCCTAGCTCCCATACAAAGTCCCCTTCAGAAAATTACTTGAATGTCCCAAATTTACTTATAAACACAAATATCGCGATGAAATTTAGCAGAATAAAATATTATGTAAATATAAATATATTCACAAAATTTTATCGGGCTTGGTCCATATTTGCCCCTAGCCCCCATATAAAGCCTCTTTCAGAAAATTAGTTTTTCATCCATAAATTGCTTAAATGTATCGGAACAAGGGAATATTGAAGATAAATGCTTTATTATGAAAAATAAATCACATTTAATATTCATAACTGGTGTAGGGTATCATATGGTCGGCCACGCCCCGACTATACTTTCTTACTTGTTTTATTTGTCTTTTTCATAGTTTATTCACTAAATATAAAGCCATGAAGTAATTAAGAGTGTAAATTATATTGATTAGTGTTCTATCAATGCAAAATATCTTCTCCGGCAATAAAATGTAGTATTTTATCAAAGAAATTTATCAGTATTTGCAAAAATTTATTATATATTAAAAGTTCGTTCTTATTTTCAAAAATGTGTTATAACCAAAAATATAAAATTAAGAAAACCCACTCAACGAATATTTTATCCTAATTGTTCGCAACACTAACACAGAAAATGACAGCCAAATTGTACAGTGCTGCCAAGTTAAACAATAAACAGCACAATAGTTAATGTAGGTTTATTATTTGTTTATGAATACTACAATTTTATGAATGGCTTTTAAGTCTAAAGTGTACTTTAACTATTGTGTGATTTAAATCTAAAATAAGCAAAATACAATATATTGTATTTTACTATTAAAATGTTTAATATTTTATAAACATGTTTCTAAATACACAAAATACTATATTTTGTGTGTATTTTTCATAAAGGAATATGTAAATAATTTTGTTAAACATATAGTTTTTTAAATTTAAATTTACGCATTCAAGGACCTTTCTTATGATACCAAAATTTTATATCTTTCCTTTTGAAGAAATATGAAAAAATCACCTTTTTTAATGCTGACAAACAATTCCATTACACTCTGTATTTTCAAAACAATCACAATATTCCTTTAAATAAAGTTTTTTGTTAAAATGTATTTCTTATTTAAAGATCTTGTTTCTATTTTCTAAAAATTATTTTTTATAGGTACGCAATTTTCATTACTACTGGAAGATTTTTTGAATTTGTAGATTTCAAATGCTATGTACCCTTCCAGTTGGATTTAGAATATTACTTTTTAATGGTTTTTGGATAATAATGAAATTTAGTGTTTTTAGCTAAATAAATATGTACATTAAGATGATATAGGAAAGATTGACATGAATAAAACTAAAGCCAACATATCTAAGTATACGAACCAAGAAAAAAAATTAAAAATGTTATGGTTTTAATTTGAGAACGCCTCAAAAAAAAAAGTGGCGTATGGCCTCCCTTCTATACATACCTTTCTCATGAAGATTAAGGGTATAAAAATTACAATACATTTTTGCATTCCACTGTATTTATGTATATTCTCTCGAAAATTCCATAGAAAATCATAAATTTATTGAATTTTTTAATTATTATAATATTTTAAATAGCTTAATTTAACATTAAAAAAATAGCGACTGAAGTTTTCTGTATGTAGATATTTAAATCTAATTATAATATTTCGCTTCATTTCAGCTTACACGTATTGCATTACAATGACTCCTTACATAAGTTTAGCTCTCGCAGCTCATGGCCCACCGAATATATTAGAACCACTTGTGCCATCCTTTAGAACGACTACTACCACTTCTACTACCACAACAACGACATTTGTACCATTCCTATCAAAAAAATCATTTCAGGGTACAAGTATGTCTGAAGATCTGACCAATATAACAACCGTTATTGTTTTTGGAAACGATTCCGCTTTAAACCAAACTAATATTACAAATATTGTGGATCATCGAGGTCCTCGGTATTCTCTATCCTCAATGATTTTCATGAGTGTTATTGCTGGTATACTAAGTTTACTGACAGTTGTTGGAAACGTGATGGTGATGATTTCATTTAAAATTGACAAGCAACTCCAAACAATAAGCAATTACTTTTTATTTTCTTTGGCTATTGCTGATTTTGCGATTGGTTTAATATCAATGCCTTTGTTTGCAGTAACTACGATAGTGGGATACTGGCCTTTAGGACCTCATATATGCGATACATGGCTGGCATTAGATTATCTGGCATCAAATGCATCCGTACTTAATCTTCTCATCATTAGTTTTGATCGTTATTTTAGTGTTATGAGACCTCTTACATATCGTGCTAAAAGAACGACCAATCGGGCTGCTGTTATGATAGCAGCAGCATGGGGTATAAGTTTAATTTTATGGCCTCCTTGGATATATAGTTGGCCATATATAGAAGGTAAACGCACAGTTCCGCAAGATGAATGCTACATTCAGTTTATTGAGACAAATCAGTATATCACGTTTTTAACGGCGTTAGCGGCATTTTATTTCCCGGTTACAATCATGTGCTTCCTATATTATCGCATTTGGAAAGAAACAAAAAAACGACAAAAGGATTTACCCAATTTACAGGCTGGAAAAAAAGATGCATCTAAACCTATTGAAAATGGTTAAAATCGGTCCATTATTTCACCTAGCCCCCATAGAACAGAACCCCCCGAAAAGGGCTTCTGAGCTCATAATTATGTTAAATATACAGATATATCGATAAAATACGGCATAACTAAGTTTTATAGAAGTCTTGATAGCCCTGCCAAATTTCATAAAGATCGGGCCCCATTTGACCCTAGCTCCCATACAAAGTCCCCTTCAGAAAATTACTTGAATGTCCCAAATTAACTTATAAACACAAATATCGCGATGAAATTCAGCACAATAAAATATTATGTAAATATAAATATATTCACAAAATTTTATCGGGCTTGGTCCATATTTGCCCCTAGCCCCCATATAAAGCCTCTTTCAGAAAATTAGTTTTTCATCCATAAATTGCTTAAATGTATCGGAACAAGGGAATACTGAAGATAAATGCGATATTATGAAAAATAAATCACATTTAATATTCATAACTGGTGTAGGGTATCATATGGTCGGCCACGCCCGACTATACTTTCTTACTTGTTAGCAATTTGGAAATGCCCGCCTGTCAATCAAATCATGGCCACAATCATTATACCCTACACCACTTTAGTGGGGAGGGTATATTGGATTAGTGCTGATGTTTGTAACATGATGTTTGTAACATATAGTATACCAATCGGCTTAGAATCGTTTTCTGAGTCGATTAAGCTATGTCCGTCCGTCCGTCCGTCTGGCTGGCTGTCCATATAAACCTTGTGCGCAAGGTACAGGTCGCAATTTTCAAGATAATTGGATGAAATTTGGCACGCACGTTTTATTTGACCCAAGGACGAAGCCTATTGAAAATGGTTAAAATCGGTCCATTATTTCACCTAGCCCCCATAGAACAGAACCCCCCGAAAAGGGCTTTTGAGCTCATAATTATGTTAAATATACAGATATATCGATAAAATGCGGCACAACTAAGTTTTATAGAAGTCTTGATGACCTTGCCAAATTTCATAAAGATCGGGCCCCATTTGACCCTAGCTCCCATACAAAGTCCCCTTCAGAAAATTACTTGAATGTCCCAAATTTACTTATAAACACAAATATCGCGATGAAATTTAGCAGAATAAAATATTATGTAAATATAAATATATTCACAAAATTTTATCGGGCTTGGTCCATATTTGCCCCTAGCCCCCATATAAAGCCTCTTTCAGAAAATTAGTTTTTCATCCATAAATTGCTTAAATGTATCGGAACAAGGGAATATTGAAGATAAATGCTTTATTATGAAAAATAAATCACATTTAATATTCATAACTGGTGTAGGGTATCATATGGTCGGCCACGCCCGACTATACTTTCTTACTTGTTTTATTTGTCTTTTTCATAGTTTATTCACTAAATATAAAGCCATGAAGTAATTAAGAGTGTAAATTATATTGATTAGTGTTCTATCAATGCAAAATATCTTCTCCGGCAATAAAATGTAGTATTTTATCAAAGAAATTTATCAGTATTTGCAAAAATTTATTATATATTAAAAGTTCGTTCTTATTTTCAAAAATGTGTTATAACCAAAAATATAAAATTAAGAAAACCCACTCAACGAATATTTTATCCTAATTGTTCGCAACACTAACACAGAAAATGACAGCCAAATTGTACAGTGCTGCCAAGTTAAACAATAAACAGCACAATAGTTAATGTAGGTTTATTATTTGTTTATGAATACTACAATTTTATGAATGGCTTTTAAGTCTAAAGTGTACTTTAACTATTGTGTGATTTAAATCTAAAATAAGCAAAATACAATATATTGTATTTTACTATTAAAATGTTTAATATTTTATAAACATGTTTCTAAATACACAAAATACTATATTTTGTGTGTATTTTTCATAAAGGAATATGTAAATAATTTTGTTAAACATATAGTTTTTTAAATTTAAATTTACGCATTCAAGGACCTTTCTTATGATACCAAAATTTTATATCTTTCCTTTTGAAGAAATATGAAAAAATCACCTTTTTTAATGCTGACAAACAATTCCATTACACTCTGTATTTTCAAAACAATCACAATATTCCTTTAAATAAAGTTTTTTGTTAAAATGTATTTCTTATTTAAAGATCTTGTTTCTATTTTCTAAAAATTATTTTTTATAGGTACGCAATTTTCATTACTACTGGAAGATTTTTTGAATTTGTAGATTTCAAATGCTATGTACCCTTCCAGTTGGATTTAGAATATTACTTTTTAATGGTTTTTGGATAATAATGAAATTTAGTGTTTTTAGCTAAATAAATATGTACATTAAGATGATATAGGAAAGATTGACATGAATAAAACTAAAGCCAACATATCTAAGTATACGAACCAAGAAAAAAAATTAAAAATGTTATGGTTTTAATTTGAGAACGCCTCAAAAAAAAAAGTGGCGTATGGCCTCCCTTCTATACATACCTTTCTCATGAAGATTAAGGGTATAAAAATTACAATACATTTTTGCATTCCACTGTATTTATGTATATTCTCTCGAAAATTCCATAGAAAATCATAAATTTATTGAATTTTTTAATTATTATAATATTTTAAATAGCTTAATTTAACATTAAAAAAATAGCGACTGAAGTTTTCTGTATGTAGATATTTAAATCTAATTATAATATTTCGCTTCATTTCAGCTTACACGTATTGCATTACAATGACTCCTTACATAAGTTTAGCTCTCGCAGCTCATGGCCCACCGAATATATTAGAACCACTTGTGCCATCCTTTAGAACGACTACTACCACTTCTACTACCACAACAACGACATTTGTACCATTCCTATCAAAAAAATCATTTCAGGGTACAAGTATGTCTGAAGATCTGACCAATATAACAACCGTTATTGTTTTTGGAAACGATTCCGCTTTAAACCAAACTAATATTACAAATATTGTGGATCATCGAGGTCCTCGGTATTCTCTATCCTCAATGATTTTCATGAGTGTTATTGCTGGTATACTAAGTTTACTGACAGTTGTTGGAAACGTGATGGTGATGATTTCATTTAAAATTGACAAGCAACTCCAAACAATAAGCAATTACTTTTTATTTTCTTTGGCTATTGCTGATTTTGCGATTGGTTTAATATCAATGCCTTTGTTTGCAGTAACTACGATAGTGGGATACTGGCCTTTAGGACCTCATATATGCGATACATGGCTGGCATTAGATTATCTGGCATCAAATGCATCCGTACTTAATCTTCTCATCATTAGTTTTGATCGTTATTTTAGTGTTACGAGACCTCTTACATATCGTGCTAAAAGAACGACCAATCGGGCTGCTGTTATGATAGCAGCAGCATGGGGTATAAGTTTAATTTTATGGCCTCCTTGGATATATAGTTGGCCATATATAGAAGGTAAACGCACAGTTCCGCAAGATGAATGCTACATTCAGTTTATTGAGACAAATCAGTATATCACGTTTTTAACGGCGTTAGCGGCATTTTATTTCCCGGTTACAATCATGTGCTTCCTATATTATCGCATTTGGAAAGAAACAAAAAAACGACAAAAGGATTTACCCAATTTACAGGCTGGAAAAAAAGATGCATCTAAACGATCGAATTCAAGGTAAGATTAATATTTTTTAAAGAAAATTAACAGTCAGGCAATTAATCTATAATTACATAAAATTACATATAATTCTTTGGAAGTAGCGTAGAGGAGTGAAATAGAGTAGAAGACTGAAAAGATGGTGAAAGTTAAGGATTATAATTTTACAACTTTGGTTGTCAGATTATTTTTTACCTTCATCGCCAAATTGTGTTTCGAAAATCGCCAGAAAATATGATACATAAATTTTGAACTTTTAAAATTTTCTACCGATTTCTGATATTGTTGGAACGATATGTGCGCTCCTTTAACAGTACCTTACCTTTGGTCTACCAGACTGGAACAATAACCTTCCAGAGGCCAATACAAAAAAAAAAAAAAAAATAGGTTAGGTTAGGATGATAGGAGGATGAATCTACATCAAATCCGAAGAAATACACCTAGGACACTATCGGGCCTGTTGTGCGCTTGTTTTCATGGAAAATGTTTGTTGGTAAAAACAAAAACCTTATATAGGATTCACTAAATGTATTATCGCCCGATGTTCAGAAACTCAGTTTCCTGGACGTAATTCCTGAGTATTTTCCAATCAGTGTTCGTGAGGGATATTATATCCGGCATAATATAACTTCCAAGATATTTATTTCTATTTCTGGGTCTCCAATATAAAAATCCAGGCCCACTTTATCTCCCAATTTTTACTGGTATTTGCTCTAAAGTTCCGCTTGACCAAGACATTCTATCTGGGATCAGCTTTTTAAAGTTTTCGACTTATTTTGTCTCTGGTATGCGATCGGGCACGTCCGATGATTGTGTATAGCCTTCCAATGTGTCTAGTATACGTTGACGACGTGTCCTATAACCGCTTTTGGCCAGTTCGCCTAAAGTAAAGAGCCGTTCGGCTGTTAGTGCCGCTTCATATCTTATATATGTTTCAATGGGTGGAATATCTAGCATTGTTTCCAGAGCCTTGGTTTACGTAGTACTCATGGCTCCATTTATACCCAAGCAGCATGTACGCTGAATAGAGTTTGGGGTTCAGGAAATCTCATCCGGGAATTCTTCGGAAAAGTTTGTCGGGATTTCACGGAAATTTTTTAATCATTCCCGGGAAAATGGGAAATTTGTAATTAACGTATTTTTAAAATTTTTTGGAAAAACTAGCGAATTTATAATTTATTAGCAATTTTTTAAAGGCAAATTACAAAACATCATTAATGATACAACAGGAAATGAAAAAATTCTAAATTAAATGTATGTAAAAGCTTGACATGAAGAAAGTACAAATAGAACCAAAAATGTTGACATTCTATTTAATACATTTTTAAAGCCAACGTCTGTGGAAAGCGTTTGAGTTATCTCAATAGCTGGAAATTTGTCGACAAAATAAGGGAATAGTTGATCTTTTCTTATATTTAATTAATTCTAAGAAGTAAGAATGAACGAACTAAATATGTTTCTTTTTTGTTAACTATTCCCCCTCATATATATTCCCCCATGGAGATATAATATGTTTAGTAGTCCTATGGTATGCAAACATGCATCATGTAGATTTTCTAAAAACCTGGTGTAAATCATAATTTTAGTAAAAGAATAGTTTTGGGATTAGTCTGATGTAAAGCATGTTTGGATTACATGGTCCTTCATTAACATGACAATGTTAAATGTATAATGTTTTTTATATGTGGATTTGTTTTGGACCACTCCCTTTACACAAGTGTAAAGTTGGTTGGTTAACGTGGTAGTTCACTGCGCGCAAACAGCTAAGTAGAACCGAAGGGACTCCGTAGTCTGTAGCCTGTAGCCTGTAGCAATGAAAAAGCGCAGGATATCATTAAGCTTAGTTCCACATATCTCACCAAGGTTGGCTATGAAGTAACTGCCAAAAAACAGTTTCCCTTAGCGGAAACGGTCTTCCATCTTGCAACTGCGACAGTACTCATTGAAGAGGAGCCCAAGGAGCTATCAACCCGGATATATCCCGCGTATTTCGTGTTATAAGGTGTCTTGTGCGTTTCTCATTGAAAGAAGGACACAATGACTTGGCCCCTTTACATGTGCCTAGGTTATTCCATCTATACCCAAACAAAGGCAAGGACAGATCCTTCTTGCATTGTCTAACTAATAGGGAAGTGGTAGTATAAGAGTTTAGTGAGAGAATTGTCGCTTGTCTATCGACAAAAATTCCTATGTTGCCGCGAAAATTGAGATCATGCAGTATAATACAGGCTTGACTGTAGTGAGAGACTTAAATATATACATATATTTAAACTTTTTCATTGGCAAATGTATGTTATAGTTATGACTTTTTGCAATTTTTGCAAAATACCATAGCAGGAGCTTGTAGGGCGTGAACAGTGTTAAGGAAAATTATATTATTTTTTCGCGATAATGAAAAAAGTTCCAACACCAAAAGCGATAAAGTTTTGTATAAATTTTACTTTTTCTATATGAGAAAAATAAATATTTTTGCCAACATTTTAGCATTTTTAAAGAGAACATTGTTCTTTAAATCCTTGTTATGGAAATGTTAACAAATCGCGATTATAGAAAATAGTATACTTTTATATGAAAATTATTAAAATAATTTTTGAAAAATAATGAACGAAAGCATTTTAGAAATTGCTTTCGGTGCGGTAATTAACTTAAAAAATAGCCTTATATTATCAGGACAGTATTGGCTATAAGGCAGTGCTATGGTATTTTGCCGCCCAAAAAAAGTTATAACCCTAATGTAACATGTAACACATGTCGTCCCCGTTTTGAATATTAGTACCATGTGGGTTTTAACAAAGTTTTCAGAATAGCAAAAAACAGTTTAATTTGGGTGTATTTTTGATATATGGCGATTCTTTAGAAAAATATGGCTCTACGCGGATTCGTTAACAAATATAATTAATTTAACAAGATAAAATAAAAACTCGTTTTCAGCTTTATCTTAGAATTTCAACTTATTATCTGTTTATGCAAAAATTCAAATAGGTCTAGAAGTTGCAATTATACTTTCAATTTCAAATTTAATTTTGTGGACTTAATTTATCAAGTGGCCTCCGGTAGGTTAGTGGTTAGTGTTCTAGTCTGGTAGACCGGAGGTGGTGGGTTCGATTCCCACCTGAGGCACTGGTTAAGGAGCGCACAACAGGCCCGATAGAGGCCTAGGTGTATTTCTTCGGATTTGATGTATATACATCCTCCTTTCAAACTAACTAACTAACTAATTTATCAAGTACGTAGACTACTCCCACCTAATTTTATAAAAATCGGAATAATAAATATAGCCTACTTCGGTTTTTCATAAAAGAACTGCAAGTGCTTTAACTAAAATGTTCATATAAAAATATTAACGGAAGGACGGATAAGATTTAATCGCCCCAAAAAGTGATTTGAAGTTGATCAGTGCACCAAAAGGTTATTTGCGGTGTCAGATTGACTAGTGTAAATAAAATAATATTATGGTGGTGTTATAATTCAAATCAATATAATTTGAAACACATAGGACTTTTTGCTAAATCCTAAAACAATTAAGATATCGATAAATGCTATTGTACAACCAGTAGAGGTACAAATTGCAATAATAAAAAAATTTCCAAAAATTCCACGTAGTACTAAAATTCTAAACAGGGACGAATTTATTTATTGGTTTAAAAAGTGGAATAAAGCAAATAAATGAATTTTAAATTAAATGAAATTAAATTTGGCTTATTTAATTAATTTAATATTATTTAATTTTTTATCTTTTGATTGTTTTTTTTTTTTCATTGAGAACATAAACTTGTGACATGCTGCAAAGATCTGTTCACAATCACTGTTACTACTCTTTAGTAGATACAATATACAACATGGTTGTGAATTGAACACTTGAAATTATTAATTGCGATAAAAAACATTTGTGAAGATATTTTAGAACTTCTGGAATCATTAACAATACAATTAGGGCATTCACACGTTCGTTTTTATATCATAAAAGAATAACACGAAAAAATATGACTGCTGTGAGTAACCGTCATAAGCAGGGCTGTTAGGCTTTTTTATGGGAAATCGTCAAAATTACAAAATAAAAACGTCAAAATCGTCACAATTTTTTAAAAAAATCGTCAATAAATCGTCACAACTAATTACGTTAAAATTATGCATATATACATTTATTTAGAGTTTGGGATTAATGCAACTGATGAAGTGTAGTACAAATTCTGATCTAGGGTTGCCATCTGGGCTTTTCCTTGGTAGGAATTTTGTTAGTCTAAATGGATTTTTTGGTAGGTTTGTCAAAACACATTCAGAGTATTTTCTGTGAAGACTTTGATCAAATATGGATTGAAATCTAAAAAATTGATTAGGGCGTTTAATTTATTAAATCAAATAATTTATGTTGTTTTTCATCTGAAGAGCATATCTAAAATTTTCTCAGAGTAATAATATTTGTGTTAGGAAAGTTAAAGTAACTTTCTGATGGCAATATTATGTGGTGGCTAGGACCAAAGTACATATGAAATTCATAGAGGAATTTAAAAATATCTATAACTTGTTTATGACGAATTGTATCTGCATCCACATAGATTTAAAAAAGTACATTAACAAAATATACATATAACTTTTTCCCTAGCGTTAAAGAGTTTTATATGGAGCTGGTGAACGATATTGGCTATACTTCACAGTATGATTCTTGGGAATTTTAAATTAAATAATAAAATTTTAGCAAATTTAGTCTAAAGATGTTATTATAACCCTTTTTTAATAAATAAACTTTATCACTTCCTCGTTAATTTTTTCAAATTTCCTCTAATTAAACCGTCCGACACTGAAAATTGGACACGAACCGGATGATATACGTCTGAAACTATAAATTTAGTGGAGAAAAACTGCGTTTTTAGTTTTTCATTTCGTGATCCTATGTCCTTTCTAAAAGACTTCAAAGTTTTAAAAAGTGCATTTAAAAAAAATATTTTAAAATACTTCTACAGATCAAACAATGCCAAATTTGATGTCAATCAAACAAGAAGAGTTTTAACATATTTTGT